CAGTTGGACAGGTGTACCTAATAAAGTGGCCGGTGAGTGTATATACTGTATATATATACTGTGTGCATACACACAAAAGTGCAAATACTAACTGAAGTCTAAATGAGTCTTACCACCAGGTTTGGTCCTTCGATGGTTGGGTACAACAGCGCTCATTTTAGCCGAACACAAAAGCTGTTGAGACAAAAGGAATAAGTATACAGAGCCAAATCTACTACAAAAAATTGTTTGTTTTTATCAGCACGACTTTGCTTCCAAAATGTCTTTAAACGCAGGAATTCCTAAAGAGAGCAGCAAAGGTTCAAATTAGATTGAAGATTAAGTGCATGGACAACTGCTTATGTTTGTGAGTGATTCACAAATATTGATCCAGCCTCACAAAAGCAAACATATTTTCTTAAAAGAGGGAATAAAACCATCTTTAAAAATGTTACAATCATTTCTGTCATTTATTGGAAGTTATTTCCAATTAAACTGTTTCCAGCTTTTCTTTTTAAACTCTTATCTTCTAAATGTAAATACAAATTACAGTATAAACACAACTTAGCCTACAGAAACGTTTTCAGGAGAACACAGATTATAATCTGTGGGTGTTTAAATGATGTCATGTTGAACCCAAGATGCTCCAAATCTACAGTTTTTATTTATTATCTCTCATTCAAAGCTACATGCCTGTCTAGGATAGTCATATAAATATACAGGTAGCTGATAGCTCATTTATGAATATGTTAAAACTCAAGGAGACTGTAGGTTTGGTTATATATTATGTTTATATTTCTTCTGTTAATTACGAGTTGATGCTTATCCAAGTTTAATTTTGAAAAATCAGTGATCCCTGCCTCTAGTACACCTACCATCCTGTGTTTTCTATGTTTTTCAACACACCTGATTCATATGATTAATTAACAGGGTTGTGTAGAATTTAACGCTATCCAGGAGGAATGGTTTTATTATTAGAAGTGTGTCAGGTCAGGGAAATGTCTAAGTAATATAAGGCACAGTGGGCTCCTAAAGACAAGCTAGGGGGTTTGGAGATAATGCATAATTTATAAACTGGCTAAACAAATGCATACAGTTTTGATAAAACAGACCTAAAGATTTAATGAACATCATATGCTTAAAACAGAAAACAGTCAGTGTCACTCAAAAAAAAGGTCTAAATTGACTTTTATTTTCTTCAGTTTTGTGAACATAGCGATCATAAACCGGTTCAGCTAACGACTCTTAAATTAAACTACTTTCTAAGACTGTAAAATGATTTAGCTCTAATATATCGTCTTAAATTGAATACAATCACTTTAAAGAAGTTTTAGTACTGATTTCAGCGAATTATTTTAATGATGCTAACAAAGCCTTGCTAACGTAGTTAGCCGCCTAGCTATTCATTTAGCGCTGCCACCCAGTTGATTTATATGTAAACAGATTAAAGAACCACATTTACGGTATTAAAAACAACATTTTATCTTACCTTACAGGAGTAATGCTTTGTAACAAAACTAGGATAGCTGCTGATAAAATCTGTTATCTTCTTTTTATTCGGACAAGGCTGAAAGCTTCCTGCGGCACCTGAGGCTGACTTCCGGTTCACAAATCAAGATCGTATGTAAAGACAAAGTCTCACGCTGTTTATTTTTTTTATCACCTGCGCGTGGAAACATAATTGCACGGACAGAGTCACACCTCTGCCTCACCCTCGTGCTGTTAAGAAGTGAAAAGACGATCTTTGGCTGTTTAAATCACAGAGAAAGATCAACTATCATAATTATCGCGTAAATTTTGGGTTTGGTAACTATGATAAACACGATTTCAAAAATTTAGAATGTTATTCAATAAAATATCCAAGATATTGACATAAAATATGTTGTTTATACTATGATGATGTAGTAATTTAACTATAAACCAAAGACACTTATTCCATATACAGCAAATAAAAACGATTAGGAACAAATAAAAATAATCAAGGCAAAAACAAGCAAACAGGATATTAATTGCTGGTTTATGAGGACACAGATTATACCACATAAATAATTTTATATTATGTACTGTATGTACTATATGCACATTTTCATTCATT